CTCCTACTCAAACCGTTTCTGTAAACGTTTCCTCTCTCTCTCTCTCTCTCTCTCTCTCTCTCTCTCTCTTTTGTGTAGCATTTTTATTAATTTATACCATATATTATCAATACACAAACTATGATTCAGTGCAAAACAGAGCAGATTAATATGGTCTTGTTAGTTGATAATGTGATTGATTAGTTGTGCTTTTTGTTTATTTTATATATGTAGAATTATGAAATGAGATTATAAGAGGAAGTTTGCGGAAGTTAGAGTAGGAGTGCCTACGGGCCTCGACTTGTAGTGTTCACGAACCTTTCTAGGGTACCGAAAGTAACCACATCCGGCTTACAATTACCACTCTCCAACATTTTGTTGAAAAGTGCTGCTGCCTCGGCCTCTCTATTCTGGAGAAGAAAACCGTTGATTAGAGTGTTGCAGGTCGTGACATTTGGTTCAAAACCCAATTTGAAGAAGTTTCCCAAGACTGACAAACCAAACCCCGTTTGGTGCAAACGACTGAGTCTGAGTCCGAGTCTGGTGGTGTTGCTTCTGCTGCCATAACCAACCTTCAAAGAAGAAGACGAAGCAGCAATCGTTGCCCGCATCATCATCTCTAAGTCAGCGATTCAGTACGTTAATCCTCCACAACAGATTCTACTCAGGAATAAACCACCCTTCTTGTTGATTGATGGAAAATGCTCTCCCTTGAAATAATCAAATCAAAATCCCATGTTGCTTCAGATGGAGTCTACTCTTGCCAAATGTAAAACCCAAACAATTGTAATCTATCTACTGTTGGAGCAATATTAGAAAATATGAAAAATAACAATATATTCTAATGATAATAATCATAAAGAAATTCACGACATCAATTATATATGAGATTAATATAAACAACTAGAGAAAAAAGTTAGAATAACTGACAAACTTGGAGATTGAGGCTTGCATAAATGCAATGTCCTAAAGATAGAATTTCGCCCCTACTCTTGTGCTTGTAGTTCGGTAGGCGTCCATCTCCCAGGATTCAACAATCTATAATCCGAAGTCAAAGCACTTCAATCTTCGGACTCTGACGAACTTTATATATTCCATACTCTCAAGACACGACTCGGAATTTGACTCACGAAGCATGAGAGAAACAAAGTGGGGAAACCCTATTTCTCAAGAGTAAAAATTAACTCTAATTTTCTATTTTTAATACCAATGGTTTCATGGTTTATATATAATCCAATTTCTACTTATCAAAGAGATGTAACTTTTCATCTATAAGTATACATCACTTATCAAGGAATACAACTAAACAACATAACCTTTCTAAGAAATTGGTTAACAATATTTTTCATTCAATTATTAAAATTATATACTATAATATATAATATATAATTTCCAACAATCCCCCACATGAATGAAAAATTAGGAAGAATTTGAGAGTACAGACGGACAAGAGATGCATCGGGAGAGGTGTCTTTTAGACTTGAACCTACCCTAGTGAATACTTATCGGATTTACTTGGTGACGCAGTGAATATAGAATCTTGAACTGTTCACCGCAGTAGTAAACCGAGACAATAAGCAACACACATCACTAATCCTAATATATTCTGGTTCATACGGTTGTGTTCATTTTGGTCCTGAACAAATCCCGGATTCATGAGAGCTTTAGAGAATTTAGCCATCTCATACTCATAGAAGCGACCCACTTCTACTCTCACATAGGTGACCACTGATTAAGAATACTCTGCAATATTCCTCTTATTTATAAGATATCATTGTCATTAAGTATAAATATACATCCTAAACTTCTGCAGACAACACACTTCTTCCATCATAGGAATGAGGTATATAGTGTGTTAACTTCTTTGAATCATGCCCAACCAGTTTGCCTATTGAACTTAGACCATGGGATCTGCAATCAATTAAGTTAGGTTTCCGCTCGGCTAATTCATTAGTTATGTTGGCTTTAGCCTCATTCCCCTCGATGAACAACTTACTCTCTAGTCTAACCTTTAATGATTGGATTCACCACTAGGTTGACTATCATTAATGGCGTGCACAATCCGTCTTATGAAATTATATTTCATATGAGAATAGTTTGTTTACTATGTCAAGTCCTCAACTGTATATGTTGGGACTTAAGTAAGTAATTTGCTATCACTTGGGCATACTCCCCCACATTTAAGGTATTTGTAAGAAGGTCTCTAACCTCTTCATACCTTAAAAATTGTTTATCATAAAATATATTGTTTATTATCTCTTTTATCTAAAATTACTCTTTTCAATTTAGACATTCTACTTTATACTATTCGACAAACCATCACAGTATATGAAGTCAATATGCTTCGTATCCAGTACACCTCTAATTGAGGATTGATTTCCTTATGTAACCGCATATATTTCCATTTATGTACTTTGACTTCATATTGTAAAAAATTCAATTAGTTAACATCATTGAATTCATCTAGTACATGTGGATGCTCTGAGCTATGAATAACGGAACCCAATGGCTATGTACATTCAATTTCATATGCTTACTTAATAAGCATGACCTTGTCTAATTCAATTGTGCATGCTTACTCAATAAGCCTCTTTTTCAATGTCTCATCATTCCTTTTACGAAAGACCCCCACACTTTAACTGATTGGTTGCAATGACATTTCCCTCTTCTCGGAAATGCACACTTCTTTAGAGCAGCATGAAAGTATGTCCACTTTTATTGAGGTCCACACGTTGACTATCCAAACACTGATGTTGTTCCTCGTTTAAATAATTTCAAGACTTAATCTTCTCTGAATCATGGCCTTTTTGTATATCTATCTTCTAAACCAAATTCCAATGCCTTTTCATCAAATGATGCCAAGCGGTGCATCGTTTCAACTACCCCAAAGACACAATTCGGTAAAAGAGGATATACATCTTTTGGTAGTAATAAAAGGAAATCCTTAAAACATGGTTGCATTCAAATCCAACGCTAACGTTCACAAGGCATATCATTTTAATCCACTAATATTTCTTTAGGAAATACATAACCAAACATTGAATTGCTCTGCATTTGTTTCATGAATATATTTGGGAAAAATCATCGTTCATGCTATCGTCAGTCTTAACCAATTGGTTGGAACAAATACCATGTAATTGATTTCCATTGACACTTATCATGATTTACACCCCTTCATATAGAGTTGTAACTTTCAGATTGCAAAATCTGAAAGAAAACCTATATCCAAATTGCCTCATAACATTCTTAATTTAACTACGGTGGTGGAAGTCATGATGCCCTTCCAACGTTTAGCAAAGAGGGTATCCCTTTCCCTTTATTCATTTTGGGTATGAAAGGATGCCATCTCTAGAGATACGGCAGACGACAAAACACAACAAGCATATAACTGACACAAGGAAAAATAGTTTTCCAAAAATTTGGAACTTCATTTTACCCCAAACAGCACCACTAGTTTGCATACTGATCATTGTATCAATTCCAATGTTTCTTCAATTCACCACCAGTCCCTTCATTGGCACTTGATCTTTCTCTATTTTGTATACTGAATATACAACAAGCAGCGTGCATTATGATATGATGCCAGACTCATCAACAAATACTCATTCTTTTGTTAATTTCTCCGTAAAGAACACTCTGGACATCTTCTAGTATATATAAATTAGAAGTTCAAAAACGTATGATGCAACTAACACTAGTATGACAACATACAGATATAATTCTACTAATATATATCAATATGCATATAAAACTCCGCCCCACAAATCTTTCAAAGAAAGATCAGAGTTTGTTCTTCTTAGTGTTTAGAGCTACATTCAATCTTATTCATTTTAACTTCTATTAATTAGAGTCATATTCTCCAACAATGCAAGAGAAAAAGGTTCTATCTTTAGATTGTTGGAGCAATATTAGAAAATATGAAAAATAACAATATAATTCCAATGATAATAATCATAAAGAAATTCACGACATCAATTATATATGAGATTAATATAAACAACTAGAGAAAAAGTTAGAATAACTGACAAACTTGGAGATTGAGGCTTGCATAAATGCAATGTCCTAAATATAGAATTTCGCCCCTACTCTTGTGCTTGTAGTTCGGTAGGCGTCCATCTCCCAGGATTCAACAATCTATAATCCGAAGTCAAAGCACTTCAATCTTCGGACTCTGGCGAACTTTATATATTCCATACTCTCAAGACACGACTCGGAATTTGACTCACGAAGCATGAGAGAAACAAAGTGGGGAAACCCTATTTCTCAAGAGTAAAAATTAACTCTAATTTTCTATATTTAATACCAATGGTTTCATGGGTTTATATATAATCAAATTTCTACTTATCAAAGAGATGTAACTTTTCATCTATAAGTATACATCACTTATCAAGGAATACAACTAAACAACATAACCTTTCTAAGAAATTGGTTAACAATATTTTTCATTCAATTATTAAAATTATATACTATAATATATAATATATAATTTCCAACATCTACTTTTTCTACCACCACCACCTTGTAAAACCAATACATAAAGGCTCGAGGGAAATTTAGAAATATAGCCAATTCAGAGAACACGTATTTTAATATGACCTACTCTATTTTTTATAAAACTAACCAAAATTTATGTTCCAAAGACTAAATTACCCTAATACTAAAACCTTCTCAGTTCCTCCCTTCTTCCCATTTCTGAATTCTGATTGAGATGCTTCTCTGTTATTTCTGATATCTAATTATCTATCATTTTCTCTGTCTCTTCCGCTTCCGACTTCCGTTTTCAACCTTTATATAATTCCATGAGCTTGAGCTTATCTTTCTTTCCAGTATACACAGCTCGCCATTCTGCTAAGTCAGTTGTCTTCCTCGTGGGTGTGGGTTGGTAGGTGGGTGTTGAATCATTCGCAGAATGAATGGCTACCCGAACTGGACTCAGCAGCGGAACAACTCCCTCCAATGCAGCATTCAAGGGAAGGAAGCACAGAAACTTGTCAAAACTGCAAAGATGCAAATTAGTTTCATCACGGACTTTCTATAAATGCCAACAAAGCGGGATCAATTTTATTTTTAGACAATAAATTAACTATCAACTCCGTAGTTAAAGCATCTGCAGAAAAACCCCTCTCCACCATTTCTTGGATAATCCTCACTGCCCTTGATGTCTCATTGTTATTGAAAAACCCTCGGATAATTGTGTTGTACGTGCAATCATCTGGAGAACAGCCGCTCTCTTCCATTTCCCTTAGCAAGTTTTCTGCTTCACATGTTAGCCGCCCATTACAAAATCCACTAATCATTATATTATATGACCAGACATCAGGTTGAATTCCTTTTGATGACAAACTACGAAAGAGATCCCATGCATATTCAACTTTTTCAGCTCTGCACAAACCTTGAATAAGAATATTGTAAGTTACAATATCAAAATCCAACTTCTTTCCCTTCTTTCCCTCCATCTCTTCCAACAATTCAACTGCCTTGGGAAATTGTTGGTTTTTACAGAGGCCATCCAGTAAAATATTAAACGTTTGAATATCTGGAAGTTGGCCTAAAACTTGCATTTGAGAGAAAAAGTTATGTGCATCTTGTATTCTTCCCATCTTGCAAAACCCATCAATAAGAGTGTTATAAGTAATAGTATTTGGAACCACTCCCCTATGAGACATTTCTCGAAAAACCATCCGAGCATCATCTATCCTTTTAAGCTTGCAATAGCCATTTATCAATATGTTATAACTATGAGTATCATCCATGCACCCTTTGCTAAGCATTACGTCAAAAACCTTTTTCGCCTCATCCATTTCTCCTCGCAAACAATACCCATCCATAAACGAATTGTAAGTAATTGTATTAGGTTCGATACCTCTTTTAATCATCATTTCGACCACGCTCCTTGCTTCTTGGACCATTCCCTCTTTACAAAATGTATCAACCAAGACAGTAAAGGTGTACACATTTGGAAAGATATGTTTACTCACCATTTCATTCAACAATCTTGTAGCTTCTTTCCAATCCTGTAATTTGCAAACTCCATGAATCAAAGAGGTATAGGTCATGACATCTGATGCAATACCCTTACTCGTCATTTCTGAGAAGAGGTTCTGTGCCTCAGCGACTCTATCCTGGAGAATAAAGCCGCTGATTAGAGTGGTGTAGGTTGCGACATTTGGTTCAAAACCCAACTTGAAGAAGATTCCCAAGATTGACAAACCAAACCCCATTTGGTGTAAATGGCAAAAGCAGTTAATGATAATATTTAGAGTATAAACATCAGGACGAATTCCCGAAACACCCATTTTCTTATTCAACGAGATTACCGTCAAGTAATGTTTCATCTTGGCAAGTTGAGTCAAGATTTGGGTGAAGGGGACAACGGAAGGCAGAGGACGCCTTCGAAGCATTTCGTCAAACACCTTGAGAGCATCCTCGAGATTAGTGATTTTCACAAGCTGGTCCTGTTTGGTGTTTCTAGATTCGGTCGATGTACAAGCCCGAGAGTGAAACAAAGCCAAGTAATTGTTGAAGAAAACAACAACAGAAGAAGATTGAACAAGACAAGGCATCATATCTCTGAGTTTGAGTCTCAGTCTGGTGGTGCTGTTTCTGCTGCCATAACCAACCTTCAAAGAAGAAGAAGAAGCCATCGTTGCCCGCATCATCTTCAGCGATTCAGCCTCCAAACCTGAGCTCCACTATACAAAACACTTCAGCACACGAGAAAAACTTCGCTGGTGTTTGGTGGAGTGAAAAAGAGACGAAGTCGGGAGAAGATTAAAAATAGTTATGTGGAGGTGGAGGTGTTTGGGTGGAAGAAACTTTATTTTTGTTGAAGCTTGCATGATTTTTCAATGCCATGTGGTTATTAATATTTAGGGTAAATTACATCAAATTATCTCAACTGTGAATTCAACTACAATCTTATACCTCATATTTTAAATATTATAATATCATACCTCATTTCATTTATGTTGAAGCTTGCATGATTTTTCAATACCATGTGGTTATTAATATTTACATTGCATTACAATTCCATAGTTTCACGCAACAAGAAAAGCATTGAGTCTAAGTTGTGTTCAGCGTCAAGTTGTTAATTTATCCAGAGGATGGGGAAGGTCTTGAATATATATAGTCTGAAAATTTGTGGATATTCAAGTGTAGATTGTTCTGGGAGTGAACATGGGGTACTGAATGTTCAACTTTAACCCCAACCAACATGCAATAGTCATCAAAAGTTTTAGATGTGAATTCTTCAATATTATCCAATCGAATAGATTTGATCAGATAATCAGGATGGTGAGCCCTAAGTTTGATAACCTGAGCCAACAGTTTGGAGAATGCAGTGTTCCTTGTGGACAACAAGTACATGTATGACCAACGTGTGGAAGCGTTAACCAAAACTATAAAATATCTAAATGGTCGGCAGGGAGGGTGAATCGGTCCACAAATGTCCCTCAGAATCCTTCGTAGAGAAATAAGAGGCTTCGAACGAATCTTATCATAAGAAGGCTTAATAATAAGCTTTCCCATGGAGTAGGTTTGACACGCGATTCCTTTAATCAAACCTAAACTTCAGGTTAGTGGATGCCCGTGTGATGATTTGAGGATATAGCGCATCACTATTCGTTCAGGGTGTTCCAAACAATCATGCCAAAGTGTAATTTCGTGCACAGTCCCAGAGGTAGGGCCAGCCACATGGTGGCTTTCTATAGAGCGTATGGTCGTAGTATACAGACCACTCGGGATACGCTTCATCTTTTCTAGAATACACTTCTGGCCATATTCGTAGACAGTTATGCACAAAAATTCAACTCCATTTTCTACATATGTTTCAGCATGGTAATTATTATCTCTAATGTCCTTGAAACTCAACAACGTTATTCCGGAACGTGGAGAATAAAGTGTCTCATCAATGGTCAAAATTGTACCATTGGACAACATTATACGTGTCTTACCGTATCCTTCGATCAGGTTGGATGGCCCTGAGAGGGTTGTCAGTGGTGCATTCTTAGGTATGAAGTTAGTGAAATAGATGTGTTCATGCAAAATTGTGTGCGTGGTTGCACTATTTGCCAGACAACTCACTTTCCCACTAGTCATATCTAGAAATAAAAATTAATTTGAATTGGTCACATGCATAAAAGTTCTTGAAACAAATATCCATTCAAAATAATTTAAGTATTCAAGGATGGTAATTAATTAAAACTTAATATCCAAAAACAAATCGCCAACAAATAATCCAAACATAAAGGAAAATTGTTCAAAATTTAACCAAAAACACATGAGGGGTTTGGCCACTAGGTGAAATTCGACCCCATTGTCTAAATTTCAACTAGAAAAATAGTTTATGTCTAAGATTATAATCTTCCATAAGGGTAATAGCCTCTTGAAAGTCAGAAAACTCCATCTTGGTACTCTCTGGTTCATCTGCTTGCGCAAAGTTTGATCAAACTTCTTATGACGAGAATGATATTCAGTTACAACCTTCTAGGGAGCTCGGCAAACACGGGACCAATGATCCTTTGAACCACAACGATAACGCATGTTCGCATCCACGGTTTCAGGCAATTTGCCCTTATTCTTGAAGTTTGGGGTCTTGGGAGTGAGATTCAGGCGTTTTAGGGCCCGGTTTCCTCCCTTAGACGGGCTTGGGCTCTGTTAACCTTGACGGGATGGTTTCTGGCTGCCCTTACCACGCCTATTTTGGCGTTTTGGGCATTTGTTTGTGCTATAATGTACTTTAGGCACACCAGTAGGTCGAGCTTTATGATTCTTCATCAACAGTTGATTCTGCGTTTCAGCGATAAGTAAAACAAAGATCAAATCCAAAAACTTAGTGAACTTCTAAGCCCTATATTGTTGCTATAGGACAATATTAGTAATATAGAAGGTTGAATAAGTCTTTTTCCAAGATATCCTCTTCAGTCAGGGTCTTGTTACAGAACTTGAGAAGTGATTGGATTCTACAAACTTTAGAATTGTATTCATTCACAGACTTAAAGTCTTGGAAGCGCAAATGCTACCAGTCATGTCTTGCTTCAGGCAAGAAGATGTCCTTTAGGTGATCAAAGCGATCAGCTAAAGTGACCCAGAGTGCTTGTAGATCCTGCTCAGCAAGGTACTCAGCTTGTAGTGCGTCATGAATGTGTCTTCGGATGCAGATCACTAAAGTGGCTTTCTCAGCTTCTCCAACCGGGTTGTCTATCTCATCTTCAATGGCGGAGCGCAAATTATTTGCAGTGAGGTGGAGCTTCACATCTTGGATCCACTTGAGGTAGTTCCTTCCATAGACCTCTAAGGCGGTGAAGTCAAGTTTGTTCAAATTCGACATGTTCCTATCACAAAATAAATGGACAAGATGTGGTTAGTTTAATGGAGAAAAAAATCAATCCATTCACATAGGAGTAAAACATTCAGGTTCTAATAAACATGTATTGGTTTAAATTTACATGAAAAAGCTTCGAGTTTTCATGGGTGATGTTTTTAAGGAAAACTTCAGGTTTTCAAATAAGGCATGTTTCTAGAAACTTCAGGTTAATAATTATGAACTTCAAGTTCATATGTTTTTGCAGACAAACACAAATATATATACAGAAATATGCAACAATAAAATATGTAAATAAAACTTCAGGTCTATAATTATAATTGAATTAATTATTTGGACTTTAGGCCAAATTTAAAACGTGGGTGAAAAATTATAAAACCCAAATTGTCTAAAAAATTAACAATTAAAATCAGGGTCCAAAAACAGGGACCATAAACCCATAGGTGGGTTGAGTAAATTTGTCAAGCCAAAAAACTAGGTTGGGGTTAGGCACAAGCTGATCAGTCAAAAATAAATTTGGGATGTGAGGCCAGTAGCAGTAAACGGGCTGCAAAAAGGCCAGGCCCAAAGCATAGGCCCAGTTAAGGCATTGATTAGGCGTGGTGGGGAGCACGAATACCCCAACGAGGCTGGGATCCGATGTGTCGCAGTGTAGGAAAACCACAACAGCCACATGGGTCAAGATCTGGTGCAGCACAAACACAAATACACTAGCAGAGGCGGTGATTATGTGTGACATGGTGCATAGGAAAGACGACAGGAGCCAAGAAGGGCTCAACTGGTTCTCGGGCCAGGTTATCAACAAAGCCCAAGGGGCTGGTGATGTGGATCAAGGTTATGGGCATAACCAGACCCAATAAAAGGGTGTTGTGCGAGATAGACCAAAAGAATCCGAGGCCCGTTAGGACTTGGTTTTGGATCTTTAGGCCACCCTAGCGGCGATGGGTATGGGGATCTACCAGAGATGGTCAACGGTGCCACTTCATGCAGTGTTCCATGGTTGGTGCAAGTCGTGGTTCATTGGAGAACCAAGATTTGACAAAGAAAGTTGAACCTCAACGTTGTGGGTGGTGATAACCGAAGGGATTCAAATGAATCCTATGAAAAACACACGAAATTCTTCTGGAAAACGATGAGTTTTGTCCAAATCACATGACTGTCGATTGTGTTTTAGTAAAAAAAAAATCGACAAGGGGGACCTAGGCTTCAGGTCGAGGGTTTCAGATAAGGACGATGGTGCCTAAAAAGCACTGCATGGTTCTGGACTTACTGCCTTGTAATTCGTGGTTAGGCTGGGCTTGCCAAGCCGACGCAAGCTGTTGGCCTAATACTAGCGGCTTATACGGCGGCGCAGCATGGAGCCGGCAATGTTAGGGTTTTACGAAACCGCTTTTTTCATATTAATTCAACATATAATTTAATGCATGATATATGTTGCAATTCATGGCAATATCAATTTACATAATTCAATAATTATGGATATAATGCATACACAATTTATGTAGAATTTAAAATTCATAAAACGTAAAGTTGGATCATGCATTATGGTGAATGTTCATGCTATTAGGGTTGCAAAAATATCGCGATAAAAACCGTTGTTTTGAAAGAACATGATTGCGTGATGATATTGATGAACTGGTTTGATGCAGAAAACTTCCACATCAGATTTCTAAGAGCATCTCCAAAGGAAATGTCAAAATCCTAGGTGGAATGCCACTGTGCATATTTGACATCAAAAGTCTCTCCAACTGAAGTGTTATTTGCTAGCTGGATTTGAAGGCTTAGCAATTTGATGTCAAATTTGACATCAATGTCAAATTTATTTTTAAATCATTTTAATAGGAGGTCTCTTATTCCATTAACATTTCAACCAATAAAAATTTTATTTCAACATTTTTTTAATAATTACAATCATTTAAAGCTCTATTTAAATAATAAAATAACATTTGACAATTCAATTGAAGAATCACAAATTTTGACATAAGGCTTCAGATTGCCACATCAGCCATCAATTGTAATTTGACTCTTATAATTTGACATTTCCTTTGGAGATGGTCTAAGCGCATCGGTAGGAGCCTGCTAATAACACGTTGCGGCCTATATTTAACTGATAGGGGAGAGGGGACTGGCGGCACAAAGAGAATATATAGAGAGAAAGAGAGAGATGCGTTTGTATGGTTGTGTAGAGGATATGTTATTCCCCCTACGTAGTGCCTTTATTTATAGTAATAAAAGAGGAAAAAAAAAATTTTCTCCAAAAAATACAAGTCCTAATAGGAAAGAATAATTAGAATCAAATATAATCTAGGATTTACACAATCA